TTTTTAGTTTCTTTGTGCTGGTTATGTAGTTCCTCCTTTAGCTCTGAGAAGTTTGATCAATTGAAGCCTTCTTCTCTCAACTCGTCAAAGTCATTCACTGTCCAGCTTTGTTCCCTTGCTGGCGATGAGCTGCGTTCCTTTGGAGAGGGAGATGTGCTCTGATTTTTTGAATTTCCAGCTTTTCTGCACTGCTTTTCCCCCATCTTTGTGGTTTTATCTGCCTTTGGTCTTTGATGATAGTGATGTACTGATGGGGTCTTGGTGGGGTGTCCTTTCTGTTTATTAGTTTTCCTTCTAACAGGACCCTCAGCAATAGGTCTGTTGGAGTTTGCTTGAGGTTCACTCCAGACCATGTTTGCCTGGGTATCAGCAGCGGAGGCTGCAGAAGATAGCATATTGCTGAACAGCAAGTGTTGCTGTCTGATTCTTGTTCTGGAAGCTTCATCTCAGGGGTGTACCCCACCGTGTGAGGTGTGAGTTGTCAGTCTGCACCTAGTGGGGGATCTCTCCCAGGTAGGCTACTCGGGGGTCAGGGACCCACTTGAGCAGGCGGTCTGTCCGTTTCCCGATCTCAGCCTCCGTGCTGGGAGATCCACTGCTGTCTTCAAAGCTGTCAGACAGGGGCATTTACCTCTGCGGAGGTTTCTGCTGCTTTTTGTTTAGCTATGCCCTGTCCCCAGAGGAGGAGTCTACAGAGGCAGGCCAGCCTCCTTGAGCTGTGGTCGGCTCCACCCAATTCAAGCTTCCTGGCGACTTTGTTTACCTACTTAAGCCTCAGCAATGGCGGGCGCCCCTCCCCTAGCCTCGCTGCCACCTTGCAGTTAGATCTCAGACTGCTGTGCTAGCAATGAGGGAGGCTCTGTGGGCATGGGCCCCTCTGGGCCAGGTGTGGGATATAATCTCCTGGTGTGCCGTTTGCTAAGACCCTTGGTAAAGCACAGTATTAGGGTGGGAGTTACCTGATTTTCCAGGTGTTGTTGTCTCAGTTTCCTTTGGCTAGGAAAAGGAGTTCCCTTCCCGCTTGCGCTTTCCACATGAGGTGATGCCTCGCCCTGCTTCAGCTCTCTCTGGTCGGGCTGCACCCACAGACCAGCGCCAACTGTCCCACATGCCCCAGTGAGATGAACCCGGTACCTCAGTTGAAAATGCAGAAATCACCCGTCTTCTGTGTTACTCATGCTGGGAGCTGGAGGCTGGAGCGGTTCCTGTTCGGCCATCTTGGGCGCCGATTATCAGTACTTAAGATTTTAAAATTGGAAGGTTAGCTTAGAAGATATTCAAGCAAAGACAAGTGTTGACTGAGAGATGCTCATATTGCCTGAATGACCTCAAATGCTCAGAACTGGTAGTTGCATTAGCATATAGGCTCCCAGAGACTATGAATAGAACATGTGGCTTTATTTCATAAGTTATTTACTATTTAAATATGAGGCAGATAGTAATAATTATGTTTATGCAGAAATATATTTGGAAATTAAGGGGAAGTGGTATATAAATTCTAGTGTTGTATGTAGTATTTACTTTAAAAATGAATGTTATTTAAATTGATCTAAGTCTGAGATGATATTAATATACTTTGTTTCATGCTTATTTTATAAAGCATGATCTGTCTAGTTTGGAAGCTACTAAGTTCCAACCTGTTACTCTTTTTGCTATTCCTTAATCTCCTATCAATCATTTAACTACCCTTCACTGTCTCTTCCCCCACCATGAGAATATAAATGGTAGATAATTTCAGGGTATTGATGGGATATTTCGTCTCTCTAATTATCATTAAATAAGATAAGTATTAAAATTTAAATTTACAGGTATGTCTTGAAAAAATGGAAGATATTCAGCTAGCCATGGTTATTGCCCGTTTATATGAATCTGAATTTGAGACTTCATCCACTTATATATCCATCCTAAATCAGAAGATTTTGGGTTGCCAAAAGGATGGCTCAGGATTCAGTTGCAAAAGATTACATCCTGATCCTTTCCTGCGTAGTCTTGCCTATTGGGTAATGAAAGATTACACCCGAGCCTTGGACACATTACTGGAACAAACACCAAAGGAGGATGATGAACATCAAGGTAGGACATTTTGTGGTTTTCTTTTTTTTGTTTTTTAAAGGAAGAGACACTTTCTGAACTAATGTTCACTTAGATTAAGAAAAATCATTACCAGATTTGCTTTTCAACTTTGAGAATTTATTATTAAAATTTCTTGTGTGGCTAAAGGATTAGATAGGATTACCATCCTATTCTAATTACATATATATTTAACAAGCATACAAAAACTTTATGCCTCTGTGGTAAATTTTCTTTTTTCCTTGTTGTCCTAAATAATTTAGATATTACAAGCACTTAAGGATATTTATCAGCATTGTTAGCAATAATTTGAAAGGAATGGAACATTTTAAGTTTTTGTCAGTAGAATAGTTAAATACATTTTAATATATCCACATATAGAATCAGTGTGTCATTAAAAATTGAGGTAGATAGATGTGTTAATATGTGCTGTATTTTTAAGTGAAAAAAGTAAGATGCACAGCAGTGTGGTTCTTGTTGCATTTGACATATATATGTTGTACACACATGCACCTGAATGTGCACACATGTTGTGTCTGCCTCCTCCATTTCCTTTGGTTGTTTCCTGAAACAAATCATAAGAAATGAAATACTGGTCATTGGTCACTGACTGCCTTTTGGGAATAAAAATGAGGAGATCCTTGTCTTTGACATTTGACAACTTGACCATGTGCCTTGGAGAGGATCTTTTTAGGTTGAATCTATCTGGGATTATTTGAGCACCCTGGACCTAGATGCCTGTCTCTTTCCCAAGACTTGGGAATTTGGGGCTGTTACTTTATTTAGTATGTTTTCCTCACCTTTTCCTTTTTCTTCTTCTGGAATGCCCATAATATGAATATTTGTTTACTTAATGGTGTCCCATAAATCCTTTAGGCATTCTTCATTATTTTTTTCCCTGTTCCTCCTCATCCTCCTCCTTCCTTCTTCTTCTTTTTTTTTTTTTTTTTGGTCTGCCTGAGTTATTTCAAAAGACCTATCTTCAAGTTCAGACATTCTTTCTTCTGCTTGGTCTAGTCTGTTGTTGAAGCTCTTGATTTTATTTTTTTATTTCATTCATTGAATTTTTTACCTCTAGTATTTCTGTTTGATTCTTTTGTATGATACCTTTCTTTTTGGTGAATTTCAAATTCACATCATGAATTCTTTTCCTGATTTCTTTTAGTTGTATATCTGTATTCTTTTTGTATCTGAATGAGTTGCCTTAAGACTATGATTTCCTTAATTATTTTTCTGGCATTTCATATGTTTCCTTATGACTGGAGTCTATTACTGGAGAATTAGTATTTTCCTTTCCATTTTTTTCTTTGGTGTCATAGTTCCTTGCTTTCTCATGGTTGGTGTGTTTCTACATTGATCCTATGCATCTGGTGGAAAAAGTTGCCTCTTCTAATTTTATGGAGTGGGGTTTATAGGGAAAGACTTGTTATTATGAATAGGTCCTCAGGTGTTGGTGTGGTGGAGTGCATTGGTTAGATGGATACAGTAGTGTAGTCTCCATGTAGCTTCTTCAGCTGTAATCCACATTAGTGGCATTTGCAATCCTCTCAGTTGCCTAGGCTGAGTTTGCGGTGATGGTCATGTAGCTTTGCCAGGATGGGCTTGTTGGACAGTTTGTCAGGTCGGGGTGCATATGTGCACACAATGGGTCAATCAGCTTAGGGTCTGGTTGGCTGGGATTGGGGCCACAGGTCTGTTACTCTGGCCAGGAGTGTGGGTACATGGTCACTTGGCCAGCCTGGAGGTGTGCCTGCCAGAAGCAGCCTGCAGGTCTGTTTCTCAGGCCTCATATGTGGGCTCATGGCTACTCAGCTGGCCTGGGATTTTGTCTCCTGGGGGTGGGGACAAGGCTGTTTCTCAGGCCCATGACATGATTGCATGGCTGCTCAGCTGGCCTGGGGGTGTTTCTGCAGGGTGTTGCCCATGGGTTATTTGTATACCTGTGATGCAGGTGCAGGGCTGCTCAGCTGTTCTGGGACTATGTTGGCTGGGGTGGCAGTCAGGCTGCTCCTCAGGCCTGAGGTGTGGGCATAAGGCTGCTCAGCTGGCATGGGGGCATTTCTGCTACGGGCCTATGGTGCTATTTCTCCGGTCTGAGGCTGGTGCAAGGCTGTTCAACTGGCTAAGGGGTGTGCACACTGCGGGCAGCTTGCAGGACTGTTTGACCAGGCTGGGATGTGTCCACCAGGGATAGCCCACAGGGCCGTGGAAATGGGCTCTTGGCTGCTTGGCTGGCCTGGTGGTGTGCTGCCAGGGGCGGCCTGAAGGACTATTTCTTGGGCTTTGATTGCAGGCACAGGGCCTTTGGCAGGCCAGAACTCTGAGTTCAGGGAGCAGGGGTGCTGCAGGCTGTTTCTGAGGTCCTGAGTGTGGGCATGTAGCTTCTTTGCTGGCCCAGGGGCATATCAGCTGCTCATAGGCTTGGGGACGTCTCTCATTTGGGGGAGGGTATGTATGTAGTGGTTTAGCTGGCTCAAGGGCAGGTTCACCCTGGGCAAGACTGCCAGATTGTTTCTCTGACTAAAAGCGTGATGGTAGGGGTTGATTTCCCTGCCATGCAGGACCAAAGTCATAGCCAATCGTGGACGTAGGCTCTGCATAGCTGGGATTGTAGCATTCAGCTACCCATGTGGGCTTGGAATGAAGATGAGGCCCCAGTGTTGGAGAGGTACAGTGACTCCTGGCCCCCAGAGCAGTGCGCATGCCAGAGGTGACTGGTCTCAAGATAGTACTTTGCTGCAGCAGCTTGGCTCACTGGCAGTAGGTGGAGGGCACACACTTTATGCTCCTAATCTGGGGCAATGCAGTTGCATGAATTTCTGACATCTCTCCAAACTGGACACAGGGTTTGCAAGTACTGTGGGATTCTTCTATTGTAAGGACTGTAGATGTTTGTGATGGCCATGAGGGCTAGTGGGGATCTTCTGTTTACCTTTTCCCCTCTGCAATGAGAAGTTCTTCCTGACTGTGGGCAGATCCAGTCTGGGTAGGGGAGATAGGGCTGCAGAGGCTGGGTACCTCCACACTGCTGTCCTAGACTTGCAGTCACCACAGGTGCATCTCCACTCCCCTGCTGCACTCTAGTGCTCTCCCTTTGACACTCCAGTCAAATCTTAGCTGTTTATTCATTGCCTTGATCCTTTCTTTTTGGAGGATGAATGCCAGGTGTGTCTAGTCAGCCATCTTGCTGACATCATTCTCTTGGTTTGTTTTTATGGATGCTCAGATTGTTCTGTCTTTCACAAATGGAGCTTCTTCAGGTTTCTGAATTATTCTGGCATTATTTCTTGATAGTTTTCTTGCTTTCTGGTATTACAGAATGTTTCAGGCTCATCTTGTACATTTCCTGCCCCAGACCTGGAAATGACCATTCCTCCAAAGCATTCTGCTTCCTTTTAGTGGGGAGTAATATTTAGAAACTATAGTCTGGGCACTGGGATCCTCATTGGTACTAATCTTGTCATAATTTCTAGACTGTTGCAATGAATGGAATTAGGGAATTTTTTTTCCTTAAGAATTCAGGAGTTTACCCTGATATTTCTCATGCACATGTAGATTATAGGGTTCTTTCTTCTTAGATGTCAAGTTTGTGTCTTATAATGAAATGCTTGAATTCTCATGGCATGAATGTACTTATTTGCTATCTGTGTGCATATAAGTTTCAGAATAATAATACAGATATTTTTATAATAACATGATTCTGAGCATAATTTAAGCTTTTTTGCAGATTTTTTTGGTTTTATGGTGCATTCTGCTAAGGATGTACAGTCAAATTACTTGTTTTTAACTCACTTTTTAGATTTCATCTCTGTGTGATTATGCTACCAACTCGATAGATTGATTTGTTTAATTTTACCTTTTGTGAATTGTGGTTTAGATTTGATTTTATTTTAAAATTATGTAAAATGTTGACATGGTGTTGAAATAAAATATATAAAACCAGTGTATTTTCAGAGGAATCTAGCTTTTTTCCTCTGTTTTGCTCTCCCCTTTTAAGGAATCAATTAAAATTTTTTTGTGTTTGTCTTCCATTTAAAAAAGATAAGCCAATATGCATGGGTGTGTATTTGTATTTCCTCTTCACTGTCTTATATAGATAAAAGGTGGTTACTACATGTACTTTCTGCATCTTCTTTTTCTTAGTGTATCCTGGACATCATTTTATAGTGATGGGAATCACTCCATAGCATATTGGGAAATTCTTTTTATTTCAGCTGTACCGTTTTAATGATTGTATGTGCCATAGTTTAACCTATCGTAGGTTAATATTTACATGTTGTTTTTTTTAAGAAATGCTGACGTATTTTATTATTTTGTAATGTAAATACGTATTAACATAATGCTTTGTGATTTTATCTCCTTGATTTCCATAGTTATCATCAAGTCTTGTAACCCAGTGGCATTTAGTTTTTATAACTACCTTCGAACTCATCCTTTGCTTATTCGAAGAAATCTTGCCTCCCCTGAAGGAACTTTGGCAACCTTAGGTCTCAAAACTGAGAAGAACTTTGTTGATAAAATTAACCTCATAGAAAGAAAATTATTCTTTACCACTGCAAATGCTCATTTTAAAGTTGGATGCCCTGTTTTAGCCTTGGAGGTACTCTCCAAAATTCCAAAAGTAACCAAAACATCTGCCTTATCTGCAAAAAAAGATCAGCCTGACTTCATTTCTCACAAGATGGATGATGTACCTTCACAATCAAAAGCTCTGAGTGATGGCAGTGGAAGTTCTGGTATTGATTGGTCAAATGTAACTTCATCACAGTATGACTGGAGTCAGCCAGTAGTAAAAGTTGATGAGGAACCTCTTAATCTTGATTGGGGTGAAGATCACGACAGTGCCTTAGATGAAGAGGAAGAAGATGCTGTTGGTTTAGTGATGAAAAGTACAGATGCCAGGGAAAAAGATAAACAATCAGATCAGAAGGCCTCAGACCCTAACATGTTATTAACACCTCAGGAAGAGGATGGTCCTGAAGGTGATACTGAAGTTGATGTGATTGCTGAGCAACTAAAATTCAGAGCTTGTTTAAAGATCCTTATGACTGAATTAAGAACATTGGCTACAGGTTATGAAGTAGATGGAGGGAAACTCAGATTTCAACTCTACAACTGGCTTGAAAAGGAAATTGCTGCCTTGCATGAGATATGTAATCATGAATCAGTTATTAAAGAATATTCTAGTAAGACATATTCCAAAGTAGAGAGTGATCTACTGGATCAGGAAGAAATGGTAGACAAACCAGATATTGGTTCCTATGAGCGCCATCAAATAGAAAGAAGAAGATTGCAGGCCAAACGAGAGCATGCAGAAAGACGAAAGTCGTGGTTGCAGAAAAACCAAGATCTCCTGAGAGTGTTTCTCAGCTACTGTAGCCTTCATGGGGCCCAAGGTGGTGGTCTGGCTTCAGTAAGGATGGAACTCAAATTTTTGCTACAAGAATCACAACAGGTGTGAATATCACTTTTTTTCCAATCTTGGTTATTTCAATAATTTCAGTAGCTCTTGCAGTTATAGCTATAAAGCTCTTTTACTACTTTTTACTAGTTAATCTAAATATGTTCAGCTCCTTTCTTTATAGGAGGCAGATATTTATACTCTATGTGGTCTTAGACTGAAGTTTTGTTAACAAGGAGTAGGCTTAAAAGCTTGAGAGTATTCTTGTGTCATATTTCTCTTTATATACCATCTACATCTAGCATAGTACCTGGTACATACTGGGTACTCAATAAATTTGTGTAAAATTAGTGATCGAACATACTCCCTTTACACAATGTTTATCACCAGTATTTCTATCAGATAATTGATGAAATTTTTTTAACTACTTTGAAAAAAATAATTCACTATCACCCACAGGAAACTACAGTAAAGCAGCTCCAGTCTCCACTACCACTGCCTACCACCCTACCTCTGCTTTCAGCAAGTATTGCGTCAACAAAAACAGTCATAGCTAATCCTGTATTGTACTTAAATAATCACATCCATGATATACTTTATACTATTGTTCAGATGAAAACACCACCTCATCCCAGTATTGAAGATGTGAAGGTAATGTAAAGTTTATGATCATTTGATATTATACACACTGAGAAGGTAAATATGTTATACCTGTCTTTTAATTTGAACTTAGAGGAAATGTTTTAATGTGCTCTTATGTGCTACCTTTCTCACTCCTGATCAGTTCAAGACTATTTGTCCAATGAATGTAATTTAAAAGCAAGTGTTCTTACTTCTGGAAAAATTATTGTCTTCCTTTAAGACAGACAAATACTTTTGGCAATAAAACTAATTTTCTTGACAGTATTCTTGCCACTTAATATCCCTCTAGATCCTCCATTCCCCTTAAATGAACCATTAAGTTGGAAATATTTACGATTATTTGTTTACACGCCAAGATATTATGAAAATATAAGTTGGGGAGTATCTGGAAGGGAACCGTGATTGGTCACAAATGGTCCCAGAGAGAGTGTCCTTATTACTGTTTCCTTGGTGGTTGTGTTTATTGGAGGCAATAGTTAGAGGCAATCAGGGTTTCGGCAGTTACTATCGCAAACTATATTGATACCCCGTGCCAAGATCTTAAAAACTGATACAGTCCAGGAAACACTAGGGAGCTTGGCAGGATCTGGGGAGCTGATCAGACTTCCACTGTCCCAGCCTAAGTGTATTTGTGCTATGCTTTTTCCAGTTCTAGTGGCTGACGCACAATTCAGATCCCCCGTTTTCTTATTTTTTATTTGTTTTGTTTGACAAGCACATTTAATCTCTGGCGGTACATTCTTCTAAAGGCCTGGTTATAATCAATTAGGGACTTCTCATCCATAGTATGAATTAACCTATATTAGTATTTTAGCAGAGATTATTTAAAGCATTTGTTATGTGAATAGGGACATGCAGAAAAGGCATAAAAAGCATATGAATTCGAAGTAAACATTTCTGGTTCCTAGAAATTTGGGTAAGGCTTTCAAAGAGTAATCTGTATAACATATGAAACTGTTTCTAAGGTCCCTTCAAATTTCAAGATTTTGTGAGTCTGAAAATATTGATTCAGTATAGCATTTCAGGGTGTTTTTTTTTTTTTTAATTATACGGAAATATTTAAAACTTTCTAAATGTAAAATTCTAAGACTATCCTCAATTCATGAGTACCAAGTAAATTACTTACTTTCTGGAAAATTAGCTGTTTCACACAGTGATTGATACATTTACTAAAAAGATTTAATTCATTTTTATTGATAAGATCAAGTCTTTATTTTCAACAAGGTGAATTTCATGAGGCGAGCTTAAATAAAAGCTCTGAAAATTCTATTTTTATTTTGCTTCTGCTTTTTTTTGAATATTACTATTTAAGCTAGTAAGCTAGTTGTTAGGCTAGGACAAATCCCTGTAATACAAACATTAGCACTTTGCTCAGGGCCTGGTAAACGGCAGGCTCACAGTAAGTAAATGTGATTAAAATGTGTCTGAAACAATCAGCTTTGTTGTGGCATGTGTATAAAGGTGGGTGAGAGTTACTTTAGGAGATTTAAAGCAGAGTTAGTAGTCTCATCTAGGATTCAGTCTTATTTATGATGTTGCTAGGTTTCCTGGATGTTTTCTAATTTTTGAAATATTACTGTTGTGTAGAAATGTTAGTACAAAATGTAATTGTGGCTGTTTTGGTTTTAGGTGCACACACTTCATTCACTAGCAGCATCACTTTCTGCATCAATTTACCAAGCATTATGTGACAGTCATAGCTACAGGTAAAAAAAAAATCACCCAAAATAGTATTAATACAGCAAAAACAATTAAACTGTTCCAGAGTTATATTAAGTTTCTATTTCCTAGGGCCTGAAAAATCCCTAAATATGACTGCCATGATATTTTAATAGATGAGAGAGAATCAGAAATAAAATAATTATTTGTTTAGTTATCACCTAGTAGTCACAGAGAAATAAAGTAACAAACAGTAAATGTAAATTACCATCATTACCATCTTTTTTGTTTTGAAGAAAGAAGAGTTTACTGTCCATAATAAGTTATAATATGAAATTTTCTAGTTGTTTTTCCTTAGAAACAATTTCTTTTTGTATTGGATTAGCAGCTATTTATTTAGCTAATTATCCATTGAAATAAAAATGCTTTTGAAAACTGAAAAAGTACATTTCTAAAATGGAATTATTTAAATTACTTTTACCTACCCATTTACATATGATGTAAAAGTCTTTGGAAGTGATATCAATTAGAAGAAAGGGACTGAATTTTTCCTAATGTAAAATTGCCTTCATTAGTATGTACTTTGCATTTTAATGACTAGAGCAATATAAGTAGCAAGAAATTGAATCACTTGGAAAGATAACTTAGATTTAAATGAATTATGTTAATAAATGAAAAGTTTATAATAGTAGATTCACATTAAATTGATATTAAATGTATGTCTAGCTTTCTTTCTTGTAATGGTAGCAGCCTTTTGTGGGAGCATTTGGTATCAAGTAAAGAATTATCTATCAAAATGGCCTGTACTCTGATTGTAACCTAATTAAGGCTGTGTCTAAATAACTCGAAAGTTTAGAAATATAAATAAGGAAAGAAGTTGATTTAGTTGACTGTTGTCATCTAAATGATCAAAGATAACTTGTTTGATGTCAGTCACCATTAAAATGGCACCAAATGAAAATGCAAATACATTGTTTTTAAATATGTATTTTCCAGTTGGTCAGCTATGATTTACTAGACTTAGCTTGACTTTCTGCTTTTATATTTTCCCCAGCTTCACAAAGATAGCAATTATAGAGAGGGAAGTAAATATTATTAAACAATATTTAGGGACATTTAGTTTCAGGTTTAGGTATTTCTAAAATATGATTCTCCAGGTTTTAGTTCATATTTTAATTTAGAGTTAAGCTTGCACAACTTTTGAGAAAAGAAATGCAACCCACTAGTACCCTGAAACTTTCTGCCTACTATATCCTAGTACCAACAGTAGTCTCCTTGCCTCAGACTTTGTAAAAACACAAAATAAAAATTACTGCAAATAGAAAAGATTTTAAAGTATTAAAGTGGCATCTGGAGAAAATTCTAAAGGAATAAATGTCATCTGCCCAACATAGTAAAATTTGTTATTTTGTTTAAAAAAAAAAATAAGCATTTGTAACTAATTTCAATAATTTTCTAAAATAAATTTTTTTTAGAACAGTGAATGCATTTTAAGAATTTTTGTTTCTTAAAGTAGCCATCTAAAATAGATGATGTGCATAAAGTGCAGTTTTTTATTACCTCTCTTACAATGATAAATAACTAAACATATTTGTTTTAGCAGTCAAACAGAAGGAAATCAGTTTACAGGAATGGCTTATCAAGGACTTCTTTTAAGTGATCGTAGAAGACTAAGGACAGAAAGCATTGAAGAACACGCAACACCAAATTCATCTCCTGCTCAGTGGCCTGGTGAGAATTTAAGTGATTTAAAAAAAAAAAAATCTTCTATTTGGCAATTTCTTCTTAAAAGTCTGCTGACCAGTTTCCTGCTTGTTGCTGGATTTAGTGAGTGGTTTCTTGCTTTCTTTGTTTTTTGATGATATTTTTCTGCTATGGATTAGGAACTATGAAGTACTGCAGTATTGTCTGAAGACTCAGGAAGTTAAGGCTTCATAAAACCAGCTATGTTAAGCAACGTAAAAAAGCAATGTCTTAACATCCTTCATAAGGATGGAGCACATTATCTTTCTTAGGAATTTTGAATTAGAGTCTTAGAAAATCACAGACATACCAGAGAAAATATAGTTGTTCTTAGGCGTGTAAATTTATGTATTGGGGTAGGAGTGACTGTTCTACGGTACATATATCATGCAGTCTGACAGTCCTTTTTTTCTGGTTGGCTCTCTTTCTCATTCTCTACCTCAGTTATTTCAAAACTTCTCCACTCTCTTCAGTACCTTAAGTGTATATTTCAGATTACTTTAACCATTGCCTTATAGAAACACATTGTTTTCATTTTAACCTCTTATTTCAAAATAATTTCAGACTTGCAAAAATTGCAAACATAATACTAAATTTCACCCAGATTCCTCAAATGTTAATATTTTACCATGCTTGCTTTATCATTCATTTCTTCTCTCTCACTCACTTGCGTGTATCTAAGTGTATTTTTTTTTTTTTTTTTTTTTGAGACAGAGTCTTGCTCTGTCTCCCAGGCTGGAGTGCAGTGGTGCAATCTCAGCTCACTGCAACCTCTGGCCTCCTGGGTTCAAACAATTCTCCTGTGTCAGCCTCTGAGTAGCTGGGACTACAGGCGCCCGCCATCACGCCCAGCTAATTATTTTGTATTTTTAGTAAAGATGGGGTTTCACCGTATTGGTCAGGCTGGTCTTGAACTCCTGACCTCAGGTGATACACCTGCCTCGGCCTCCCAAAGTGCTGGGATTACAGGTGTGAGCCACCGTGCCCAGCCCTGATTTTTTTCTTAATGTTGGATTTAAGTTACGTATTTTTTGGCAGGGATACCACAAAAAAGATGTGCCTTTCTCAGTAGGAGGTATCAAGAGGCATATGATGTCATTTGGCCCCAACTGCTATTAACTTTGATCACTTGGTAAGGTGGTTTCTGCCAAGTTTCTCCATTGTAAAGTTACTTTTTTTCCTTTGTAATTAATCAGTATCTTGTGAAGAGTTTGAGACTGTGTAAAATATTATACTTTCACTTGCTAATTTTAGCATCTAGTGATGATGTTTGCCTGAATCATATTACTGTGGGGTTACTAGACGGTGATTTTCTACCACTATCACTCATTTTATGTATTAGTTGAACTTCTACTGTAAGAAAGAGCTTCCCCTTCTCACCTTTGGTCCTCTACTCATTTATTATATCATTGTAGACAAATGGATGATTTTATTTTATAGGCTCTAATCCATTCTTATCATTATTTATTTTATTGCTCAAATTATGGAAATATTTTGTAAAATATAAATGCATAATTTTGGATAAGTTGCAAATTTGGATGTTTTTTCCTTCTGGTTCTTCATCCTGACATACTTCTTATGATTTTATGTTCCCTTATAGGTGTGAGCTCACTTATTAATCTCTTGAGTTCAGCCCAAGATGAAGACCAGCCAAAACTGAACATTTTGTTATGTGAAGCTGTTGTTGCTGTTTACTTAAGTTTATTGATACATGCTCTTGCTACAAATTCCTCCAATGAATTATTTCGGCTTGCAGCCCACCCATTAAATAATCGAATGTGGGCTGCTGTTTTTGGAGGCGGTGTAAAACTTGTTGTGAAACCTCGAAGACAATCAGAAAATATTTCAGGTAAGATAAGTTTGATACCAGTAATGTATGTAAATGTTAATAATTTTGAATGTTAAAATTTTTTAATGTTTTAAGAAATTTCACTTTGAAAATAAGCGATGCTTAAAGCATAACCACTCTTGTTATGACAGCAAATAATTAAACCCATGATATAATAAAAATATAGTTTGTTACTTTTATTTTTATAGAAATAATGTTTTTGAGGTTGATAAAGCAGGACATGTTTGAAGAAGATTAAAAATAGAGGAAAGGTAAAAAGATAAATACAGAAACAACGTTAAGAAACAAAGTCATACAAAAAGGATAGTTCCTAAGAAAATAAAATGAAAACAAAAACAAAAAGGATAGTTCTTAATTACAGAAAGAAAATTTAAATAAGTGTTCAAAATCTTTAGTGCATACCAGCATTTGGTTTCAGATTAAATGTATGGTCATGTGCAAGATAGCCATTCTGATCATACACATGGTTTCAAAATTCTATTTTATTTTTATTCTCTAAAATATGTTCCCTTAGTCTTCAATGTGATAGTATTATTCCATTTTCCTTGTGTGTTTTTTCTTCCCTCATGGACCAGAATATATTTTTCATCCCACTTTTGAAGATGGTAGGATATGGTGAGGGTATAGACTGATGCCACAGGAAAGATTTCTATCTTGATGCTCATATATAGAAATCATCTTAATTCATCTTTAGAAATGGACATATTACAGATGAGGAATCAGTGACACACAAGTTTAAATGACACTAACCTCTGTCTTCATTGTCTGTGATTGAGTTAAATAGGTTCCTGTGTAAGTCATTGTAAGGGAGATGATCTCATCAACTCCCACTGCTTCCATTTCTCTGAATCTCTTTCTTGCTGCTTGGTTGTAGTCCACTTTAAACTTAAAAGTGTTTCCTCAAAATTGTTTATTTCTCTGCCTGAGTTTTCTGATTTTTTGTTCGTGGTAATTTATCCATCAAATCATCCATGCTTAAAACCTGCCAGTACATATTTATATTTGCATTAATTTATTCCCTTAACACCTATCAGGCAATTAACAAATGACATTTCAGGTATGATAAGAACTGTGATAAAAACGGAGTAAGTGGAAAGAGAGTGATGAGGGAATGGGAATAGACCAGTTTAGTTAAGGGGGTTGGAAGACATGTTTCTGATGAGATAGTATTTGGGCAGAGCTGTAAGGAAGTTAGGAGTCACACCATGTGGATATCTGAGACCAGAGCATTCCAGGCAGATGAATGCAAAGGTCCCGAGGTAGAATTGAGTTTGGCCTTTTCCAAGAACTACCCGGGGACCATCATGGCTCTCGTGAAGAGGGGGAGTGTTGTAGGAGATGAGAATAGAAAAGTTGTGGGAATAAGGTCCTTTAGGATCATGGTAAAAGTGTTAGTTGTTCTAAAGAAAGAAAGGAGTGACATAATCTGATTCACCTTTTCAAAAGAACCGCTCTAGCTGCTTTGTGGAGAATAGACTGGGTAACATAAATAAGAGTAGGGAGCCTGGTAGTGGGGAGGCTAGTCCACTTAAAAGATAATTGTGGGTTACCATCAAGGATGAAAGGATCTACAAAGTATGTATGGTATATACGTGCAGTGCAGTGTTACTCAGCTATAAAAGGAATGAAGTACTAATGCATACTATAATCTGTATGAACTTCAAAAATAGGCTAAGCCAAAGAAGCCAGACACAAAAAGTCTCATATTGTCTGGTTCCATTTATATGAAATATCCAGAATAGGTAAATCCATAGAGACAGAAAGTAGATTTAGTTGTCATGGGCTAGTGGGAGGGAGAAATAAGGAGTGACTGCTTATTGGATATAGGGTTTCCTTTTGGGGTGAGAAGAATGCTTTGGAACTAGATAGAGGTGGTGGTTGCATGACATGTTAAATGTACTAAATGTCACTGAATTGTACACGTTAAAATTGTTAATTTTATGTTGTGTAAATGTTGCCTCAATTAAAAAATAATGGTGATTTATCCTAGGTTGTTAGTTATGGTCAGAATGAAAAGTGATCATATTCTGGATATAGTTTGAGGTTAGAGCCAATGATTTGTTGATGAATTGTGTGGGGTAGGGAAGAAAGAAGAGTTGAGATAAAATTATTTTCTGTGATGGGGAGGTTTAAGGAGAGGAGCAGGTTAACTTCTACTTTCTCGCCCTCTCATATCCAATTCCTGAATCCTTTTGCTATTTCTTTTGTGTATCACTCATATGCAACCCTTCTACTTTTTACCACCCACCATATTAGTGCAGGCCGTTCTTATGTCATCTTCCATCTTCCTCTCTAATTGATCAGACAAGCCATACTTCATTGTGTGACTAAAGCTTAAGAAGTGTTAGTGAGAACTGCCCAAAACACAAGTTCCCAGCTTCATAGCCACAGACTTGTCCTAACCTAACTCTGGACTTTGTTGTCGATATTACTTCCCTCCTTAACTCCTGTCTACCAAAAATAATTGACTCCTCATTTACCCAAACCTTTGATTATTTGTTTATGTTGCCCTTTTCCATTTTCCCATCGAACTTTCGCCCTTCTTTTAAGGCACACTATTAAATTCTACGTAGTCAGTGAATCTTTCTTGAACCTCATAGCCAGGGGTAATCAGTCAATCACTCACTTTAATATTTATTGAATATACCACTTATTTAGTATATTTTATATAGAATTACTTTAATCTGTATTTTATGGAGCACATGGCAAGATATGCTTTAATGCTTTATCTCCATCTGCATCTCTGCCTTGACTGCGGGAAAGCTGATTCAGTAACTAGAAAAGTTTAGAAGCACAGGAATAAGTAATTTAGTCTAGACCAAAACATGGCAAGAGTAGGATAAAAAGAAAACTTAACTCTATCAATTAACAATGGAAAATGAATGCTAGATTTTTTTTCCTTCTGTCTTCATGTAGCACCTCCTGTCCTTTCTGAAGACATAGATAAACACCGTAGGAGATTTAACATGCGAATGCTTGTCCCTGGGAGGCCTGTAAAAGATGCTACCCCACCACCGGTGCCTGCAGAAAGACCATCCTACAAAGAAAAATTTATTCCTCCTGAACTTAGTATGTGGGATTATTTTGTTGCAAAGGTAAGGAGTGTGAGGAATGCAAGCTATAAGATAAGTGTATCATCTATTTTATTAACTCTTGCATGTGTCTCACATAGGAATGATGGGGTAGCTTTTGGATTGAATCACCATAGTTTAGACATTTAATTTATTAAGTCTAGAAACTGAATAGTCATAGTAAATTTAAGGATGATCAGTTACTTGATGATGTAGGAGACAACTTAAAATCACATGGGAGTTGGGTATAAATCAGAAGTCAGGTTATTATATAATCAGCACTATCTTTTTCTAGTGACTGGAATACTTGTAGCTACTATCTAGGCAACTGCCTTCTAATTATCAGTGGCTCCCTTGGTAAGCATGGGATTAGAATAGAAGGAGATGGATGGACATTTGAGGGTTTTATCAGGCCATGATGAGGCCCCATGATACATCTCTGTTTTCCCAGAGCAAAGGAAACTTCTGAGGGGATCAGAGTACTCATGGTGACTAGATCTGGTATAGCCCCATTTTATACCATCGTGGGTGCATGCTAATATTCGCTTTTCTGCACTTTGCTTTTTTGAGCTCATGATTCTCCTTCTATTGGTATGTTTCCCTCTTTACATGTGTTAACTCTGTTGTCACCTTGCTGTGCGTACATATTAGGGAATACATCTCCAGAGTGATGCCTCTTCCCATTTTTAGATTTTTATTAGATCTCAGAGTTATTGAGGTGCTGATCCCATTCCGTTTTTTGTATGCTAAGAAGCTGATCCTTAAAAAGTCTTTCAACGTGAGTTTAGAAGCTTTGTTTTGTTATCTAAAGACTTTGAGGCCAGGTGCAGTGGCTCATACCTGTAACCTCAGCACTTTGGGAGGCCAAGGTAGAAGGATGCTTACATCCAGGAGTTTGAGACCAGCCTGGACAACACAGACCATGTCTCTACCAAAAAAATTTAAAAACATAGGTGCAGTGGTATGTGCCTGTAGTCCTAGCTGTTTGAAAGGCTGAGGTGAGAGGATTGTTTGAGCCCAGGAGGTCAAGGTTGCAGTGAGCCATGATTGTGCCATTGCATGCCAGCCTGGGTGTCGGACTGAGACAGTGTCTCAAAAAAAAAAGATTTTGGTTATGTCAGTGGGTCTCAAAGTGTGGTCTCAGAACCGGCAGCATCAGCATTGCTTGGGACCTTGTTTGAATTGCAAATTCTTGGGTCCTCCCTCAGACCCCTCAATCAGAAACTCTGGGAGTGAGAAACAACAATCTGTGTCTTAACAAGCTCTCCAGATGGTTCTAATGTGTGCTAAAGTTTGAGAACTACAGGGTTAGGCACATTGTGAGTGCAGATTTCCAGGTTTACACTCTATCAGGGTCCAAGTTATACTTCCAGAGTCATTCTGGCCTATCCCTTAAAGCTGCCAATTGAGTTGCACTTAATTGTATTTAGCTAATAAACCAGGGAAGTAATAAAGTACTCTTAAAAATGTATAGGCAGTTCCCACTCCTACCTTTTTAAACTTTTTATTTACCATGAATGAAAGCTCATTGCATCATTAATGTGAGTGATAACAACGTTAAGGTTTGTAAATGGTAATGTGCTAAATTAATTTTTGTTTTTCAAAAATGTTTCCTCCTGATACATATTTTGAAAATTTGGAAAATGCAAAATATTATAAAGAAGGGAAATAACACTCATCTATGCAAAGATAACTGTTACCGTTTTGGCCAATTTACTTCTAATCTTTTTTCCTCAGATTAAAAAAGGTATATAATTGGATCCGTATATGTAGTTTTTTTCTGTTAACATTAAGGTAAACAGTTTTTATACCATTAAAAACTTATATAGCTATCATTTTTAAAACTTTAGTGTAGAAAGCTTCCAACATACACAAAAGGAGAGGTAATGGCATATGAATCTTTTATCTACCATCATGTAGCTTCAGAAATTATGTATTCATGGACAGTCTTGTTTCATTTTATACCTCACCCCACTACTTGATTGTTTGGAAGCAAATCCACCATGAAATTTCATTCAAAAATATTTCAGTATTTGTTTTTGAAAAAAAGAGGATTTTAAACAGATCTACAGTAGCGTTACATCCACTGAAGCATACTCACAATTCTTCAATATTATCACATATTCAGACAGTATTCACATTTCATCACCAATTGCATCTTAAATGTTTTTATATAGTTTATTTGTTCAAATCAGGATCTAAAATACAATTCATACCTTGCAAGTGGTTGCTACATCTTCAGTCTCTTTTAATCTATAGGCTCCACCTCCGTCTCTCTCTCTTTCTCTCTCTCTTTTTTTTTTTTTTTAAACCTAACTCCCACCTTTTTTGTTTGCCCTGAAAGAATTTTGACGTTTAGAATTTTTCAACGGATTTTGCCGATGGCATCACCATATTTTGTTCCTCTGAATCTTGTAAAGTGAAAGTTAAATCCAATTTCATTCTGATTGGATAGGAAGAGGGAGTGCAGAATTAACTTTATCGGTGGTTTTGTATGTTTCTGTCAGGAAGCTTTTTATGATTTTAGTTGATCTTTGCCTACATTTATTATTTCAGTGAAAGTTTTAAATTATGATGATAAAATCCTGTCATTGATTTTTCATCTATTTGCTGGAATGTCTCTTCATCAACCTATTCAGTTACCCTGAAGTACATTTTGAGTTGGAAAGACATGATAAATGCTTTATTCTTTGCTTTTGTGTACCAGTTTTCAAAATGATGAGTTGGTTCCCAAACATCCGTCAGAGAAGGCCAGTGAGTTTTGTTTCGCTTTCAGTTTTGTTATGAGCTTATAGATTTAAACATATGTTATATGTTTTAATCCATTGCAGTTATTTTTCTCATGGGGCCTCAGATTATCCATCTTTGCCAGTGAGACTGAGAGCCTTTTCCACAGTTGGCTCCAAATCTTTTTGAGATTATTCCACTAGTGTTTGAGTTTGTCTGCTTTCTAGTTTTATTCTAGGCTAATAATGTGTATTTCCTGCCCGTGACTGAGAACAAGCTTTTTTTTTTTTTAAATAACCTGGTTCCTTTTTGTGAGAAATTATATTTAGAAATTACAGTCAGATGCTGGGATGCTCACTCTCACTTGGTTGATCATTGCTTCTAGATAAGCGTCAATTATAGTGACCATGTAACTTTTCACTTTGATGAATACACTGTAGTTTACCTAATTAGCGATTTGATGTTTATAATGCCAAGAACAGTATCTTTTAAGATACGTCTTGTTCATGAGCAGATTATTTCCTTAAGAAGTACTAGGTCAGGCTGGTATGGTGGCTCACACCTGTAATCCCAACACTTTGGGAGGCCGAGGTGGGTGGATCACGAGGTCAGGAGATCAAGACCATCCTGGCTAACACGGTGAAACCCCATCTCTACTAAAAATACAAAAAATTAGCTGGGTGTGGTGGTGAGCGCCTGTAGTCCCAGCTACTCGAGAGGCTAATGCAGAAGAATGGCGTGAACCTGGGAGGTGGAACTGGCAGTGAGCCGAGATCGCACCACTGCACTCCAGCCTGGGTGACAGAGAGAGACTCCGTCTCAAAAAAAAAAAAAAAAAAGAAGTACTAGGTCAAAGGTTATAAACTTAAATAAGGCTTTTAATACGTATTGCCAGATTATTTTCCACATTACTAATTTGTACTCTCTTGAGAATAGTGAGAGGAGGCATCTGACCTTAGTCCCTTATTAGCATTAAGTATTCCTTTTTCATTTTTGTTAATTTGATAGATTAAATGATTTGTACTTTCTGTTAGTGACATTAAAATTTTAATGATCTTATTGCCATTTGATTTTCCAGTTTGAGGTATTGACTGTTCATATTCTTACCTAAATTATCTATTGAGATTATGGCGTTTTTCCTTTTTATGGATACTTTATTTATCTAGGGATATTAATTTATCTTGTTAAACTTTTTCTAGTTTATTTGCTTTAAAATTTTGTTTATTATGCATTTGAAGTTTTAAAAAGTTTACCATGCACAGAAATTTTTAAAAGTTTAAAACTTAGATCTATCCATACATTTCCTTATTGATTACATTATTTTTAAGCAGAAGTCTTTTCCACTAATAAATGTTTACATTTATTTTACCTTCCTTCTCTGTTTCCTCCTGTTCTTTCTCTTTCTCTTTCTCCTCCTCCTTAACTTTTAATCCTCTTATTTATCTAGAATAAAGTGAGGAACAGACTGGATCAGACTTCATTTCCCATCCCCACACTTAGCTAACTAGTTGTTCCATTATTATTCATTAAATAATCCTTCCTTTTCTCCCGCTGACTTAAGATGTTATCTTTATCAGATTAAATTCTTACACGTATATGATTTTTGCATTATATTTTTGTGTCAATTGCTAGACTACATTTTTCTTACTTAGTTTAATATCCACTAAAAAAAAAATGGGATTTTTTTATTTAAAAAAAATTCCCCAGCTGATCTCATCTATTTTTTCTTCTCTAAGAACTTCAGAATCATTTTAAAGTTCCAAAATAGGAAGAGAAATTCCCAGGGGGATTTTTATTGAAATTATTTAAAGCCTATGTAAATTAACTTACAAAGAATTACAGTTTTTACACATTTCAGTCCTTCCCATCATATAATTTTATAAAGGTTTATAATTTCCTTCACAAAGCTGTCTCACAGCTTTCACAGTTGTCCTTTTGTATTTCTTTAGACTTTTCTAACTTTTTTATTGCTGATTTATAAGAAGAAAACTATTGATTTTAAACACATTTCATATCTAGCTATTCAGTTACTGAGTCTGAGAGTTTTACCTAGTCAACTTGACTTTTGTAAATGTAGCATCATCTGCAAAAGAAAATTTTTACTTATGCTGACACCATTTAAAATGTTTACTTTTATGTTAGAGCAAAAATAATTATATACTAAAACATTTTCTATATTAAATATATAATACATAAATTATATAGTTAAAATATATTTTATGTTTATAAAATTATAATCTTTAAAAAAATAACTTTATCTTTTATTGCAGCCATTTCTTCCTTTGTCCGATAGTGGTGTTATATATGATTCTGATGAAAGCATTCATAGTGATGAGGAAGATGATGCCTTTTTTTCAGATACACAAATACAGGAGCATCAAGATCCAAATTCCTATAGGTAAATAAGACTTTTCTTTTCTTTTTTTTTTTTTTGGCTTTTCTTTTTGTAGAAAATCCCAGTGTTATTAATTTTAAATAACATTATTATCCTGAATTTATATAAGAAATGACTTACGTTTCCAGGTAACAAATTCTGCACCTTTGAGGTCAATTTCTCCATAATATTTTCTCCACCTCCAAAGACTAGCTTTCATGGAGAATGCAAACACAAGCATTTTTAGTGAGGAAAAAATATGTAACTCATGGATATACTATTAGAATTTAATATATAATTTATTGGTATACTATTAGGTTCCATGTGACTATGTGGTAAATCTTTTTCCATGAGGTAATTTTCAGCAAGTGTAATATGGTATTGCAAGCTTTTTATATTCAGTGACCACAAAGCTGTCATTTTTGCATGGTAAATTTCAATGACAGCTTTTTTTCTGGTTGGAGAGTGGGCTAAACAGTTGGCAGGGAACACCACTCTGTTTCTCCCATGATTTTATTTTTCACTTAAAGACTTTTTTGCTCCTTCTTGAACAGCTGGGCTCTTCTACATTTGACAATGGTTAAGCTAGCACTTCACAATGTCAAGAATTTCTTTCCTATTGCTGGACTGGAATTCTCTGGTGAGTTTGGAATTTAAAAATAAATGTTATTAAATATAATAAATTGCCGTCAAGTTTCTCTTTACAGAATCTATATAAAAGGTCCTTTGGCACTTAAAAACAGTGCATTAGATATTTTATAAAGTCTTGTTTATTTTAGGCTCCAATCTGTGACTTTATTTTTAGTTTTTTAGATAGAGTCTTGCTCTGTTGCCCAGGCTGTATTGCAGTGGTACGATCACAGCTCACTGCCAGCTGCCTCGTAGGCTCAAGCCATCCTCCACCTCAGTCTCCTGAGTAGCTGGGACTATAGATGTGCCACCATGCTGGGCTAATTTTTGTATTTTTTGTAGAGAAAAGGTTTCACCACGTTACCCAGGCTGGTCTTGAACTCCTGGGCTCAAACGATCCACCTGCCTTGGCCTCCGAAAGTGCTGAGATTACAGGTGTGAGCCACCACACCTGGCTTCAGTCTAATACTTTAGTTTATATCAAGAATCACTCTCTACACAGAAGATGGAGAAAGAGCAGAAACCCACTTCTGTTTTGTTGAAAGCATTAAGAATCTAAACTGTATTACGTTAACATTTCCAGATTTATTTGTATTTTCAGAGGTTTTGTCTCAGAATTCAGATTCTATAAATATTTGGATGATAATCAGTATTTTTTATTAAAATAAATAACGTGTTCTGTCACCTTGTAGAGCTGCCTGTTACATCACCATTAGGTATTGCTGTGATTAAAAACTTGGAGAACTGGGAACAGATCTTGCAAGAGAAAATGGATCAGTTTGAAGGTCCACCCGCTAACTATATCAACACATACCCAACTGACCTTTCAGTGGGAGCTGGACCAGCTATTCTTCGAAATAAAGCAATGCTAGAACCTGAAAATACCCCATTCAAGTAAGAAAGCTCTTATAATGCTGATAAAGAGTATAGCTTAACTTTTCTGGAAGACAGTTTGGCTAAATATGCCAATATACTTTAAAACATTCATAATTTTGAACCTGCAGTCCTATTTTTAGCAGAATACCCTAAGAAAAATATCAGAAATTTGAATAGAATTTTTTCCCAGTATTATCTATAATTCATAGACATTCCATTTACATAAAGGAAAAATTCTTTATTGTATTAATTTCTGGTGTGGTGTTTTTTGTTTTTTTGTTTGTTTTTTTGAGACAGGGTCTCACTGTGTCTCCTAGGATGGAGTACAGTGGTGCAATCTCAGCTCACTGCAGCCTCAACCTCCTGGTTAACCCATCCTTTCACCTCTGCCTCCCGAGTAGCTGGAACTAGTGGCGAGTGCCATTGCACCTGGCTAATTTTTTTTGTATTTTTTGGAGGGACGGCGTTTCACCATGTTGCCCACGCTGAGACGGGGTTTCACCATGTTGCCCACGCTGGTCTCAAACTCCTGGGCTCAAGCAGTCCCCCAGCTTGGCCTCCCAAAGTGCTGGGATTACAGGCATGCACCACTGCACACGGCATATGTGTGTTCTTATTGTCAGAACTCTTACAGAATTTTTTTTCTAACAATCTATATATGCAAATAAGGTGCTTCTGGCTTTTGTCAGTAATTTAACAGTAAACACATTACAGGTTTTTAACTGATGTTTTGATCTTCTGCCTGCCCATGTACGTCCCTTTTGATAAGCAGCATGCTTTTTTTCTTTTTTTTTTTTTTGAGATAGTGGACCCTGATTAATAGTATTTACTATTAAAATAAGGTTAAAAGAACAAAGCTTTTTAGCTTGTTAGGCTGTTAGAATTGATATCTGTGACTTATATTCATTGCCGATATGCTTTAACCAAGAGAACCAACATAAAGTATAATTTAAAAAGAGAATAATAATTTGTCAGCTTAAGTGGTTCATTTAGTGTGATTAGAGAATTAGTTGCTAGATGAAATGATTTTTAGGAGAACTAAAAATTAGAAGTAAACTGTACAGTTTTGTTGAGCTTAATGCTGTGTCTTCTTTGCAATAGATTGTGAAGGTTTTAAAAATAAATATCTACAAATATAAACATATTTTCTATAGACTAAAATAGTGTGATATGTTAATTTTTTTTAATAGGTCCCGGGATTCTTCTGCATTTCCAGTCAAACGACTTTGGCATTTCCTTGTTAAACAAGAAGTCCTTCAAGAGACATTTATTAGATATATTTTCACTAAGAAAAGAAAGCAGAGTGAGGTATTTTGAGAAAAATATTTTCTATTGTAATTTTTCTTTAACATTTCTAAGGAAATCAGTGCTCGATTTATTCTGAAATTTTCTTTCTGGTTGGGTAATAGTCAAAGTTCACTAAACTACCGTGAACTAGTTTTAAGATAAAACCTTATAATTTTCATTTCATAGCAATGAAGCAACATAGGTACTTTGATAAATTACATATATTCAAGTGAAAGTTGGTACTTTATAGTATTTGTCATTAGGTTTTTACATGTAATAAACATTGTGATGGATGGTTTGAGGAATTTAATATATAAACTTACTCTATAATATTCTCCAAATATGTGTTTAAAATATAAAATAGCCCTTTAAAGGCATTTTATTTACTTAGCACTTAGAAATGAACAGAATGAAGATTTGAAGCAACACATTCAGGATACTTTTGTGAGAGAATAAACTACAGAAATAGCAAATACAAGATGAAGGAAGATTGCTCTTACAAAGCAAGGCAGAGGTTCTGCGTTGCATGATTATTTTTAAGTTAATACAAATGTAATAGCAGACATGGTTCAAGAAGAACCAGCAGTTTGGGAGATTGGCAGATGACCTCTTCCTTATAAAAGTAGGACCTTGTATATGAGCATTTCAGTCTGTTTGGCTATTTAATGAGGTAATGGAGCAGTTTGAAGAGTGTTCAGAGTTGAGTGTCTGATGCAATTAAAAGTTTGGCAAACATGGCCAGGCATGGCGGCTCACGTCTGTAATCCCAACACTTCGGGAGGCTGAGGCAGGCAGATCACCTGAAGTCAGGAGTTCGTGACCAGCATTACCAACATGGAGAAACCCCATCTCTACTAAAAATACAAAAGATTAGCTGGGTGTGGTGGCACATGCCTGTAATCCCAGCTACTTGGGAGGCTGAGGTAAGAGAATTGCTTGAACCCGGGAGGCAGAGGTTGCGGTGAGCCAAGATCGTGCCATTGCACTCCAGCCTGGGCAACAAGAGCCAAACTCCGTCTCAAAAAAAAAAAGATTTTGCAAACACAATCAATGAGAAGAAATGAATTATATTTTACTTAGAAAAGTGAAAACAGAGTCCATATGGCTCAGTTTCCCAAGATTAAAAGTATAAAACTGCTTCTCAGTTTTTCCTCATGCCTAGGGCAGTGGAACCTACCATACTTGTTCTTTTTCCCACTTACCCACTTACCTGAATGGTAATTGTGGTCAACCCTTATGAACAGTCATTTGTTTTCTCTGTGGATTAAAAAATTATGTACTTAAATGAGGAAGTAGAAGAATGAACTGTAGAGACCTTTTGAGTCCTAGTTATAAGCTTTTTCATAACAAAAGACCCTTATGGCATTGAAATTACTGATGTGAGCTTTGTTAGGGAAATCAGAGGCAAATTATTTGCCTCTTTCATTTAAACCACTATGTATAGCATTTCCTATAGTGATCCTGAGTCCAAATTCCATAAACTAAGATATAAGAATCTAAGATAGTGATTTGAAATAAAAGATTTTAGCCAGGCACAGTGGCTCACACCTGTAATCCTAGCACTAGGTGTGGGATCTCCTGAGTTCAGGAGTTTGAGACTAGCCTGGGCGACATGGTGAAACCCTGTCTCTACAAAAAATACAAAACAATTATCCAGGTGTGATGGTGTATGCTTGTAATCCTAGCTACTTGCAGGGCTGAGGCAGGAGGATTGCTTGAGCCCGGGAGGTGGAGGTTGTAGTGAGCTGAGATCACACACCACTGCACTCCAGCCTGGGTAACAAAGTAAGACCCTGTCTTAATAAGATTTCTGGTCAATTAGGGGCTCTGTTATTCACAGAAAACCAGTTCATTGAGTGATCAGTTTTCTGAGTGTTTTATTCTTCAAATGATTAAAATTAAAGATTGATCACAAGTATGTTTTAAATATTGGTAAAGTTGATAGCAGCTTGATTGGTTGACTTATCAGAGTGTAGAGTGGGAAGCCAGGTGTCTGGGTTTCTTGGACCCTCCCATTCTTGTTTTGCCCTTCCCCACTAGTTTGCTTCTTCCTTAACTAATTCTCCCCCTCTCCGCCCCTTAGTCTCTGTGTGTTCTCTATTTTTCTTCCAGCAGTGGTCCCACGAACAGGGAAGTAGGACAGAGATAAATGGAATGTTTCTTAAAGTGCTATATAAGCAACTGGGAGTTAGGATGGAAGAATTTTTATCATGTACCTTTTTAATTTTAAAACAATGGAATTACTGTCTTGTCTGGTACTGTCCCATAGAACTTCCTGTGATGATGGAAATCTGTATCTGCATAGTCCAGCATAATAGTCACCAGCCACATGTGGTTACTGAGTACTTGAAGTGTGGCTAGTGTGACTGAGAAACAATTTTAAATTTTAATCTAAATGGTTACAATTAATCTAAATAGTTACGTATGGTTAGTGATTGCTGTTTTGAATAGCACAGATCTGAAAAAGAGGTGTTTTCATTAAGAAAAAAATTATGAATAAAATGTTAATGCTGCTGGACAAAATAAAAACTTGTCGCTAGCTTCAGAAATATGCAAAAGTTATTAAAACTCTACTCAATCCAGTAAGAGTGCTTAAATCTTTAAAATTGTCAAATAGAATTTGGCCTTCACTGAGTTGGCCGTGCCACACATTGACCATTCCTTGGAAGTGTTCTTGGATACATCTTTATCAGCCACAGCAGCCATAGGGGAGTCCCTGGAGGCACGGTCAGAGATTTTGAATGGCCCTTCATGATGAAAGGGAGGCAGTCACCTGAAAAGGTATGAGGAAGAGTTTGTTTCTCTGATCAAACCTTCAGAGTTTCCACAGCAGAGCAGAAGTGTGACTACCGATTACAGCCATCCTTAGGACCCCACATTAACCTGGGAGCAAATCACTGAGTGATTTCTTTTCCATGTCTGATTTTATTAAACATTTATTTACTTAGAGAAAAATCATGTGATTAGTCATATTCCTTATAAGAGTGAAATAATTATCAGTATTTTGAATCTATGTTTAGAAATAAATATTTTAATTTATATTTGAAATCCACCCCTATAGGGCAGGAATTTATATAGCATCTTGTGTATCTGCTTATACAAGTGGGCTTTAATTTTTTAGATTACCAGTTATGTAACTTAAATTTCTTAAAACTGTATACAGATAACTAATTTTTATTTTGAAATAGCTTTTATGTTCTTGTGTATATGTAATAGTTACATTAATTTTGCTCTTTTGGCTTTGTGTTGTGTTTATTTGATGACTGTTTTATTCAGTTTAATTTCTTGATTTTGCAAATTCATTTTCATCATCTTTAAGTGGTGGAGTGGCCATTTCAGCTTGAAATATTTCACTGTCTTTATAATTTCATTCCATGCATGTGTTTTGTGTTTGTGACGGTGTGGTGGTATTTAGTCTATAGAAGAACATGTGGAGCAGGTCAACCAAAACTGCGTAGCAGAAGATTGCCACATCAAGGTAGTATTCCAAGATCTTGTATTTAGCTCATTCTTTAAAGTTCAAGGAGCTAACGTCTCATCTCTGATACTAACCATGACCTGCCCAACTGGCTAACTACTCAGAGAACTCGTAGTACTCCCATACCACTTCAGTGGTACAGGGGAGGAGATGCTTCACTGTATCTGGCTTGCTCTGTCTTGCCCTTGGTTCTTGTCTTTCTTGCTCCCTATTCCATCTTCACTTCTGTCACATTTTCTGTTTTAAGCATGGCTGTTTCATCTTTCCTTCTCGATTCTGCCTTTTCTTTCCTTGCCATCACAAACCCTAAGCCATTGCACCTTCCTCTCATCAGTCTCTTTTATTCCTTTCAAACTATCCCTCTTTCCAACTTTTCCTTATTTCTGTCTCATCACCCTTACTTCAAAGGGTGGTTTCTTTTTGGTTTTTCTATGGTTTTTACTCCACTCTGTGCCTCTTAATGTATGCACATTCTTATTGCAGAATATGCACTTTTGGAAGAGCTAAGAGAGACATAAATTACTAATAAAAATTACTAATAAAAATATATTAGCCATCTTTTATAATTAATCAGTATCTTACCATCACAATGGAAATTGGGGTGATTACAGGACATCAGAGAATTTAAGCAAATTTTCCAAAGCTAGTTTTCAACACATTAAAGTTACTCTTACCCTTTTTTATCGCTGCTGCTGCTACATTTTCTTCTTATCCTGCTTTCAAATCTTATGGGATGTGCATAACTCTAAATAGAGCTGTGCTGCCGCAACTAAAACTGCTGATTAATGTTTTCTAGGTTGAAGCTGATCTGGGCTATCCAGGTGGAAAAGCGAAAGTCATTCATAAGGAATCTGATATGATCATGGCATTTTCTGTTAATAAGGTAAAAGCTATCATCATTATAAACAATGTATTTCTCTTCAGTGAAATTGCTTAAATCATTGACTCTGCCTTTGCTTTATAGGCAAATTGCAATGAAATTGTTTTGGCTTCAACACATGATGTTCAAGAACTTGATGTTACTTCTCTACTGGCCTGTCAGTCATATATATGGATCGGAGAAGAATATGACAGAGAATCCAAAAGGTGTCTCATAGTCACTTTTACATATAGTTTTCTGTAAGAAGTACCCACTAAATGGTTATGCACATGATTTGAATTATTTCAAAAGGTATACATGTATCTCTCTCTTCATTTGAGTAGGTGACAAATATAATTGGTTTAGCTGCCAATGAAAGTCTTTGCCTACATTAACCGAATAAATTATACTTCTTCCATTAAACCCTACACTATTGATAGTATTTCAATCAGGATAATCCCTGACACTTGGCTTCATGATATTCAGTAAGTTAATTTGATCTGGATAATTAAAACAGTATACATAAGTATGTTAATTACACTGAGTCACATTTACTGAGTAATTTTGCAGAGTTTCTTACCACCTAATAAGCATACCCTTTTTTAAACAGATAAAAATATAGACGGCTTCACTTTTCATTAAAGCTTTGGACACTGCACCAAGAGTGTTTTGCCATTCTTACCTATTTTGAGGTTTCTCCTTCATGGTTTGCCCTCCCTCTTGCTTTTCTCCAGACTCTTAGAAATTGTATGTGCTTGAGGATGGTGCCATGATAGTTTCTCTCCTTGTTTTGTTGAATTTTTTTGTTAGTATGTGATATAACTAGGATTTAATATCACATTTCAGAGTAGATATAACCCGGTACTATGATACAATCCATCACAAAAATTACTTTCACATTTTATATATCTTACTGCAAGAAATCTTTAAACTCAAATTTCTTTAAAGGTGTTAATTTGATACTGAGATATCTGTACTTGAAGAGAATATATATTTTTTCCATAGATAAAAACAAATCTATATTAAATACAACAAACATTTGTTTCAACTTGTGCAGCAATAAAGTTGTCCCCAAACAACATTAGACTAAATTTATATTTTGCCAAAAGGGAAAAAAGTTAACCAGTATTAAAATTGGCGATTAGGACTTGTACCTAAGTTTTTCTTATGGCTAATTTAGTTTTTAAAATAAAGATTGTCCTATGGGTACATAAAAAGCTTTTTAGTTGGAATTTGTGTTAAGAGAAAAGGGAACTTTCACAGTAACACATGAATGTTTTTCACAGTTCAGATGATGTTGATTATCGTGGTTCCACTACAACTCTTTATCAACCCAGTGCAACATCCTATTCAGCAAGTCAGGTGCATCCACCTTCATCTCTGCCATGGCTGGGCAGTGGACAGACTAGCACTGGAGCTAGTGTGGTATGTTATTTACTTATAGGTATCATTTCTGGATTTGGACTCTCTGAAAAATCAGTTGGAATCACTTTGACATAGGAATGATCCTAAAGTTCAGGGACAAATACCAGTAGATAGGCCATGGTAATGACAGCTGACATTTATTGTGGCTTTTTTATTTGGAGACAGGGTCTAGCTCTGTTGCCCAGGCTGGAGTGCAGTGGTGCAATCTCGGCTCACTGCAGCCTTGACCTCCTGGGCTCAATTGATCCTTCTGTCTCAACCTCCCAAGTAGCTGGGACTACAGGTGCATGCCAGCACGCCTGGCTAATTTTTGTATTTTTTGTAGGGATGGCATTTCACCATGTTGTCCAGGCTGGTCTCGAACTCCTGGGCTCAACTGATCTACCCGCTTCAGCCTCCCAGGGTGCTAGGATTACAGGCATGAGCCAGCTCACTGGCCTCATACGACTTTCTTAGTGCCAGACGCATGCTTTTCTCACAACAATCCTAGGTGGTAGGTGCTATTATTATGCTCCATTATCACTTTATAGATGAATAAACAGATACAAAATGGTAAAGCAAAGTTAAAGGGAAATTCATGTCTACTTCTAAGTGTTTGAAAGCACGTCAGTAACGTTCTTGTCACTGTAGCTGGAGGGGTCCCATTCTCATGTTCTGCTCTGAAGCATCTGGAGGTGCTCCTGAATGTCCTCAGGGAGGAGCACTTGAGGAAGAGTTCCTTTATTATGAGATGAAGCTCCTTGGTAACCTCACAGGCCAGGGCTGTACCAGCAAGTGTCTGCTTCCTCAGCCTCTTCGGACAGTTGTTCTATGTAGTGGTTCGGAACATCCATAACAGGCTTTATCTCAGAAATAAGCAGGGTGTAAGAGAATAAATGTCAGAATTTATCCTGAAGCATATCCTTCCTCATCTCTTCTGAATACACAAAATAAAAATTTTAAAATTTTCTTTTAAAGCTTATGAAAAGGAATCTACATAATGTTAAGAGAATGACTTCACACCCAGTCCATCAATACTGTAAGTATTTATGACCTAATAATTGTAACTGTCCTCATTTGGAGGTTGATTTATAGAATAGAGAATATTGGAACTCTTTAATTTCCTATTTCCTGCTTTTTCTCTTGTGTTTCAGATCTTACAGGTGCTCAGGACGGCAGTGTACGAATGTTTGAATGGACGCGACCTCAGCAACTTGTCTGCTTTCGTCAAGCTGGCAATGCAAGAGTTACTAGATTATATTTTAATTCACAAGGCAACAAGGTTAGTTTCTGGGGGCTTCTGCTAAATTCATCTGAAAATAATTGTGGATATTTAAGGAGTAAGTGATAAAAGTACATTGAAAAATGAATTCATTGACCCTGGATTTAAACTGAGCAGGCAGTTTTTTTGTATCTATTCATATACTCTCTTTTCTTCCAATAGAAGCAAAAATCTACAAAATTTAGTATGGATTGATCATCTATTTAAAGATACTAAATATACTGTGAGAGTAAAAAAACTGCCTCTGTTGAGTGTGTTGGTGATTCCTATAAGCACAGTCAAGTTCTTGAGAGGAAACCTAGTTTCTTACTAAATTTCATCAGTGAGAGGTTAGAGGAAAACAGTGAAACAGGTAAGCAGTTAAGAAGTGACGGAAGGGCCAGGCACAGTTTTTCACACCTGTAATTACAACACTTTAGGAGGCCAAGGCAGGAGGATTGCTTGAACTCTCCAGCATTTGAGGCAACCTGAACAACAAAGGGAGGCCGCATCCCTACAAAATTTTTAAAAATTAGCCTAGGCATGTGCCTAGTCCTAGCTACTCAGAAGGTTGAGCCTGGAGGATCCCTTGAACCCAGGAGTTTGAGGTTATAGTAAGCTATAATTGCACTACTGCACTCCAGCCTGGGTAACAGAGTGAAGCCCTGTCTCAAAGAAAAAAAAAAAAGTGACAAGGAATTTTTTAGCACTTGGACTTTTTGGGAATGACAGCAACAGAAACATAGTTAGGGGCAGAATATTTGTTTAGTAGGGCCTTAGTGAATCATCTTTCCATGTTTTTACCTTTGCTGTGGATGCTAAGAACATGTGTTTAGCAGTTATACTGTTCTTACAGTGTGGTGTTGCGGATGGAGAGGGTTTTCTGAGTATCTGGCAAGTTAACCAAACTGCATCAAATCCTAAACCTTATATGGTAAGTATCACTAATGTTTCCAGGGAGCATATAGACAACACTTTGAAATGGGCACTTCATGAACAAACAGACAGTGAATCTCATTGGTGGTCCTACTGGGAAAAGGATGATCTTGTTCAGCAATCCCAGCCTAACAGCAGCACCCATCCTTACCCTAGTTTTAGACTGAAATGACCTGAAAAACAAAAACCCTTGCTTTTCACCTTGAAGTGCAGTCATTATATTTTAAAAATTTCTGGGGCTCTCCCTGTATATGGTACAACTTGGGGTTTTTTATTATACTTTTATCCATTTTGAAAACTCTATCTTCTTAATATACACACCATAAAATTCTATCATTAAGAATCAGGTTCTGCCGGGTGTGGTGGCTCATGCCTGTAATCCCAGCACCTTGGGAGGCTGAGGCAGGAGAATCACTTGAATCCAGGAGGCGGAGGTTGCAGTGAGCCGAGATTGTGCCACTGCGCTCCAGCTTGGGCAATAGAGTGAGACTTCGTCTCAAAAAAAGAATCAGGTTCCAAACATCTATTCCAATTTGTTCCAGAATTGTGCTTACCAGATTATAAAATAGCCAATCCCAGTGAGCCACCTTATTAATCCAAATTGGACTACAAAATACTTGGTGATGAAGACAAGTAGATCTTTACCTGATGGAGATACGGTGGGGGAAGGGAACACGGGAGAGGGTGGAAGGTGACACTGTCTTGTGTGAAACTTCAGGCTTCACATATATGCAGGGAGGTTCAGGAAGCCTTGAACCTCTTGGGACCAGATAGATTACCCAGATACTTTAAACAAGTTTTCTAAACTATAGATATGTTCTTAATTATATGTATAAGATATTTCTCTTAAATTAGTATAGTATAGACTGTACCTTGTCTATGCAGAAGTGGAAGTAATCTTGAATTTATACTTTTGTCTTCAGTCAGATCTGCACCACTCTAATTCCAGACAGAAAAGCATGCATTATATATTTTAAAATACCTTGACGTCCTAAGACTAGTTGGGTCTGTAAGCATTTCCTTTGTGGCTTATTATTAAAGCTTATTACATGTATTTGAGATCATTAGCACTAGAATTGACAGGGCTTAGGTAGGTTCATGTACTTTGATGTCCTATTCTTACATAATCTAAAAAACATGACCAAACATGACCTCTAATTCTGTTTTTACCAACTCCAGTTATTAAAAATTATTGGACAGTAGCCAAATATACACATGGTTAACCCTCGTACTATCGCTTATTCTTTTATTCTAGACTGAGTTTTTAAAAACTGTTCTTAGCTCATGCATATAGTATGTTATTAGCAGACTATGTTAGTACTGTATCAAATTTTATCTGATGATAAAATAACATCAGTTGCACTTTGTTTTTCGTAGAGTTGGCAGTGCCACAGTAAAGCCACAAGTGACTTTGCATTTATTACCTCTTCAAGTCTAGTTGCCACATCTGGACACTCCAATGACAATAGGTAGGTTGACAGAAAAGCAAAGCAAGAAATATAAAAATGTTAGAAAAGTATTCTTGCTAAAAGTATGGATTTCTATTGGTAGGATTTTTCCACTCTAGGCATTAAAAAAAAAAAAAAAAAAAAACTTTGTTACATAATTCTTATTTCAGAGTGTTTTTTCTTACCAAAAGGAGAAAAGCAAAAATGAAAGTTATTCCTAATATGTGTAATTTTTATTTTAAAGCTATTCAGTCTTTTTAAAACTACTACTGTTAACACTGTTAGTTTCTCCAGGACTAACAAGCATCTGATACTGTCACCATCATTTTCAACATTTTTATTTTATTGTAGGCGGTTTGGGGGAATAGGTGGTGTTTGGTTACATGGATAAGTTCTTCAGTGGCAATTGCTGAGATTTTGGTACGCCCATCACCTGAGCAGTGTACACTGTACCCAATGTGTAGTCTTTTATCCCTCACCCTCCTCCCACCCCTCCCAAGTCCCCACAGTCCATTATATATCATTCTGATCCTTTGCATCTTCATAGCTTATCTCCCACTTATAAGTGAGAACATATGACACATGATTCTCCATTCCTGAGTTACTTCACTTAGAATAATGGTCTCTAACTCCATCCAGGTTGCTGCATATGTGATTATTTCATTCCTTTTTATGAAGTATTCCATGATATATATGCACCACATTTTCTTTTTCCACTTGTTGGTTGATGGACATTTAGGTTGGTTCCGTAGTTTTGCAGTTGTGAATTGTGCTGCTATAAACAGGAGTGTGCAAGTGTCTTTTTCATATAATGACTTCTTTTCTTCTGGGTAGATACCCAGTAGTAGGATTGCAGGATTGAATGGTAGTTCCACTTATAATTCTTTAAGGAATCTCCATATACTGTTTTTCATAGTGGTTGTACTAGTTTACATTCCCACAGCAGTGAAGTGTCCGCTTTTCACCACCTCCATGCCAATATCTATTATTTTTTGGTTTTTTAATTATGGCCATTCTTGCAGGAATAAGGTAGTATCGTATTGGAGTTTTAATTTGCATTTTCCTGGTAATTAGTGGTTTTAAGCCTTTTTTCATGTTTGTTGCCCATTTGTATTTTGAGAATTGTCTATTCATGTCCTTGGCTCACTTTTGATGGGATTTTTTTGTTAAGTTCCTTGTAGATTCTAGATATTAGTCCCTTGTCAGATATATGCATTGTATTTTCTCCCACTCTGCGGGTTGCCTGTTTACTGTTGCTGTGCAAAAGCTTTTTATTTTGATTAGGTCCTATTTATTTTTGTTGCATTTGCCTTTGGGTTCTTGGTCATGAATTCTTTGTCTTAAGTCAATGTCTAGAGTAGTTTTTTCGATGTTATCTTCTAGAATTTTTATGGTTTCAGGTGTTAGATTTAAGTTTGATCCATCTTGTGTTGATTTTTGTATAAGATGAGAGATGAGGATTCAGGGACTAACAGGCATTTGACACTGTCCCCATCATTCTCAACATTTATTTTGACCTCACATAGTTTTCATTAGCAACACGTGCCCAGGAAAAACATCTCGTTTCCCTACAGTGGCTACCACCTGGGGATATAAAAGCATTCCTTATACTCAGGAAGTCATATCAGTTTCCTGGAGTGATAATGGAAAGGAGATGGGGTAGAGGATGCAGAGACAGGCAGGACCATATAAGATGGAACTGTGGAGTTTGTCCCTACCTCCATCCTAGTTGGGAATCACTGGTCTCTATAGGTGTGAGTGAACAAAAAAGATAAGAATGAATAAGCAAAATATTTTATTGAAAGACAGGTTGTCCCTGGTGATGACTTAGAACAATTGTTTATGATATATTTTTGTTATTGTGTTTCTTTAAAAGAAATGTTTGCCTCTGGGACACATTAATATCACCCGGAAACAGCCTCATTCATGGTGAGTTAAGGTCTATGATTTTTAAAAATATACCATGAAGGAATAATACACCATGAAGGAATGCTTTCTTGTTTTAATTAGTGAATCCAGTGAGTGTTTATTGTCAGGTTGAAAATGGAGAAATACTTAATTAGCATATCTGGCTTTCTTGCTGAGTTAAAGATATATGGTCTCAGAAATCCAAAATAGTCTTTATATTGTATTCTATTCAGAAAATATGGTATGGATAGTGGTACTACTAACAAGGCTATTTAAGAGATTAGTTGCAAAGTATTCATTGAGCTTAATAGAAAAGAACATTTTAAAGAATTGAACCTAATCATAAAATACATTTTGTCTTTTTTTTCCTTTTTGTGGAGAGCAAGGTCTCACTGTATTGCTCAGACAGGTCTCAAGCTCCTAGGCTCAAGCTATCCTCCCACCTCTGCCTCCCTAAGTACTGGGATTAGGGGCATGAGCCATCACACCTGGCCCTAACCATAAAATAAAACAAAGGTTAACCTTATGATAATGACCAGAAATGTAAATAGTGCCATTTAAATATTCCTTTAAGACAGTACTTGCCAAATTAGTGTCCTAACTCTGTCTTCCACATAGTACCACCCAAAAAGTGCTCCATGCTCAAGTAAGTTTAGTTAAATGAAGTAAATTGTTTTACAGAAAGATTCTCAGTCTTTTAATACACTGATATGCATTTTGAAAGATGTCGTTACTTCTCAATTTTATTGCAGAATTCTGTGAACAGTGGTTAACATTGCTTACAGATTTTCTACATGTTAATTTGAATCCTTAATCATATTAAAATGCAAATACTCCTGGGAAGGATAATTTCTTAACTTGTAACTGAAAACATTCACACATTTCCTCATCGTGTTGTTGTGATGAGAGAACATGTACGGTACAGCACTTGGTTGGGTTAATACTCACCAACTCTGAGAAGCTTGGTCTCTGCTGTTCTGTATACTTTTTATGAGGCAGTATCACTTAGGGCTTAAGGTTTAAACTTTCTTTTTCTCTGTGTTCATTTCACATTGAGATTATGGATAAAAGATTTGTTCTGATATTGCTTAACGTTTTTCTTTAATCATATGATTACAGAAATTCAGTGACTTACAAAACAATAAATTGTTCCTTAGAATGAAAAATGCATCAGTAATTTCTGTATTTAAATGTGGATTTAGACATCATAGTTACCAAGATAAATTGTTTTGAGAAAGTCTCTGACGTTTTTCTTCTTCAGGTTTCACATGCCATGATCATGGTGCCACAGTACTTCAATATGCACCCAAACAGCAACTCCTGATCTCGGGGGGTAGGAAAGGACATGTCTGCATTTTTGACATCAGGCAAAGGCAGCTCATTCACACATTCCAGGCCCATGACTCAGCTATTAAGGCTCTGGCCCTGGATCCCTATGAGGAATATTTTACCACAGGTTCAGCAGAAGGTAACATAAAGGTGAGTCAGTACAAGAGGTTGGAATGTGCTAAAGACTGATTGGAAAGAGAAAAGACAAAAACTCCACATTCTTTGAAATAAAGCTTCGTGGAGATACCAAATGTCTCAACACTCTACCGCCTCCCTATGCTTCTGTATGGTTCTTTCTAAACTGTTCTGGTCAATGAGATTATCAAACTCTTTGGACTTAGGTCATTAAAAAGCTTTAAAGCATTCTATTTTGAGTAAAGTATATGAGTTTAATACATGAAAATTTTTGATGACATTAGTTTGGCTTCTTAGAAGCTTCTCCTCTCTCCTTCAGTACTCTTGTGTGTGGCGGAGGTGGCATTTTCATTAAGTGAGCTAGCGCAGATGCTCCTTGACTTACAGTGGGAGTACGTCCCGACAAACCCATTATAAGTTAAAAATATCGTTAGGTTGAAAAACATACTTTCAACTTAATATTTTCAACTTACTGTGAGTTTATGGAGACTAACATCAGGATAAGCCAAGGAGCATACTGAATGCGTATTGCTTTCACACTGTCATAAAGTCAAAAAGTCTTAAGTCACACCATCGTAAGTAGGGGACTGTCTGTACCACACTACTTTTACATAGTCTTAGGGCCTAGCTCAGCATGAGGAACACATTTAACCAAATTAACTCAAACAGTTAATTGAATTAGAGATGGGCTACATATGGTTAACATGAAACTATGAGAGGATGTGAAGAAAAATGTGAAAGGAGGACAGTAAATGCATCGTGGGAGTGATATTATTTCCCACTGAGATAAGCTCTTAGGAAAGAGGCAGTGGGTGGAAAGGTTGGGCTTTAGTGAGATCACTTGGACCAAGGGAGGAGAAGGGCCATGTTTTTGCTTTTGGTCTTTTCGTAATGTATTTTTAACTCTTTGTTTTGCACCAGGTTTGGAGATTGACAGGCCATGGCCTAATTCATTCATTTAAAAGTGAACATGCTAAGCAGTCCATATTTCGAAACATTGGGGCCGGAGTCATGCAGATTGACATCATCCAGGGCAATCGGATCTTCTCCTGTGGTGCAGATGGCACGCTGAAAACCAGGGTTTTGCCCAATGCTTTTAACATCCCTAACAGAATTCTTGACATTCTATAGATTTAAAGATTGAGGTTTTATTTTTATATCCATTTCAATTAAAAGGCACAGTACAGTAATCACTAGGCAATTCTGCTTTCTAAGCAGTTAACATTGAAAACAGAGAATCTCTGTGTAGAATTCGAATATGACCCAAGCTGAGTATTATCTATACAGGTTGGTGGAATGAATGTGCATGTACCTTATTATGCTGACATACTAAAAAAATAAAACCTAGTATTGTATGAAGGATAGCTATTCTTTACAGCATTTAGCAAACCTGATTCAAAAAACATTTGAGATTAGCAAATTAGTAACTTGAAATAATGAAAAGGACGTTTATACCAAATTAAGGAAGAAAATGTTGCTGATTCGGGTTTTTCTTCCTGTTCTCACCACTGACTGCACTGACTGAAGCATGCCTGCAGTCTCCTCCTCTTTTGAATGAAGGATAATCATAAGGTGTTAGGAGCGCTAGACCACCAGGAAAACTTTCTTAGCTGTGGAGCAGTGCGCGGTGACCAGTTCTCTGCTGGGAGAGGTTATTTCCATTCTTTCCTGCTGAATATTTTTCCTGTTAGTGTTTATACTGAGCTAGTACTGTAACTTGCAAATGAGTGCAAATTTAAATGCAATGTTTTCCTCACAATTTGCACATTTACATTTTTTGGACTGCTAGTTTTTCTATTTAAATATTTGCCTTCATGTTAGGAATGTACTATGTGAACATGACATATTTGTAGTTAACCAAACACACCTTCTTAGTCCAGTTTAGTACATTTTCTTTTCGTGTATTCAAAGTTAAACACCCACAACATTTAAGGATATGTTGAAACTACACCAATAGAGCATTTCATACCATAATTAAAATGAATGTTAGGCTTCTTGTGGCCAGTTAATAGTTGATGAGATTGGTGATATTATTTATTGCCACAGCCTATTGTATAAACTATGCAGAGTTAAATATTTGCTTGTAAAATATTAGCCAATGTTGTCATTACTTTGATGTATTTCCTTGGTTATGACCAAAAATATGTTGATATACTGAAACTAATGTCTGTGTGTTTAAATGTTTACCAGCAAATTGTCTTATGTTAATGAGAATGTTTAATGCCTGTGTGGTAAATAGTAAATACAATGGCATAAAAGTAACTTTCTCTGAAGATGATGTGATGTTCAGGTTGTGAAATATGTATGTAAAAGAAAAATAAATGTTATTTGTTAGAGTTTTATTTTAGTTTGATCTGTTTAAATAGACTGCTCTGGCATTCTTTGATACTGTTTTTGACAGTTGAGATTTTTAATTGGATAAAATGTTTTAACTGTTAGAGACTTTGCAAGCCATTAGGCAGTTTATTCATTCGTAAGTATTTACTGAATACCTTATATACCAAAGCCATTCTAGGAAATGGGATACAGTGGAGAGCCAGACAGAGAAAGCACACAATGTTGAGATTTAGTTGGGCAAGAGCTAACCTCACTATACCTTCTCCAGACAGATTTGAAGTTTATTGCATGAAGTACTAACCTTATACCCAAAACTCAAATCTGAGTCTTGGCTCTTTGCTTGCTCCTAAGTAAGGGAGGTCAGAATATGCCCATTGACAAGAACAGTCAGGAAAATGAGCTTGTGAGAGACATCTCAATGCCTAAAGGAAAACTGGCTCAAAGGAGCTTTCAGAAAAAAGGGAAGAGAACTTTCTCTGTCAGATAAAAGCAGTAAGAGACTCCAGATTCACCTTCTAGCTTGAAACAACTAAAAGAAAAAAAGAACACAAAATATATAAACAATGGTTCTCAAGGCATTAAGCATCAGGTAGGGAGTGACTGATCCCTGAGAGGTGAGCATTTTAATTGTCCCAACTTACCACCTTGAGAAAGTTTCTAGGCCACAGGCAGGAAGAGAACCCAGGCAGAGCTTAATGGTCTCTCCAAGTTGCCAAGATAGAACTGCAAGTCTGGGGAATAGAATGTGGCTAGAGTTTGCAGGCCAAAGGCAACAGAGCTGCATAGGGAGAGGTGCACAGAAGGTCTGTGTTAGTCTGTTCTCACACTGCTATAAGGACATACTTGAGACTAGGTAATTTATAAAGGAAAGAGATTTAATGGACTCATAGTTCCACATGGTTGAGGAGACCTCACAATCATGGCAGAAGGAAAAGGAGGACCAAAGGCACATCTTACATGGTGGCAGGTAAGAAAGCATGTTCAGGGAAACTGCCCTTTATAAAAATCATCAGATCTCGTGAGACTATCACGAGAACAGCATGGGAAGAATCTGCCCTCGTGATTCAGTTACCTCCCACTGAGTCCCTCACACAACACTTGGGGATTATGGGAGCTACAATTCAAGATGAAATTGGGTGCAGACACAGTCAAACCACATCAAGATCACCCTCAATATTTGAGCTGAAAAGGGGATCAGTGTATGTGTATGAGCAAACTACTGGCACCCAGGACAATAGCCATTGAAAGGGATTAGAGGTAACAATCTAGTCACACAAAGCTAGGAATTCAGCAGGCCCGCCTTATCTGTGGCTTTGCTTTCCGTGGTTTCAGTTACCTGTGGTTAGCCATGGTCTGAAAATCGGTGAGTACAGTACAATAAGAAATTGAGAGAGGGAGAGACCATATTCACATAGCTTTTATTACTGTATATTAATTGTATTATTGTTGATCTTTTACTGTGCCTGATTCATAAATTACACTTTTTGAGACAGAGTCACTCAAGTCACCCAGGCTGGGGTGCAGTGGTTTGATCTCAGCTCACTGCAACCTCTGCCTCCTTGGTTCAGATGATTCTCATGCCTCTGCCTCCCAAGTAGCTGGAAGCACAGGCATGTGCCACCATGCCTGGCTATTTTTTGTATTTTTAGAAGAGATGGGGTTTCACTATGTTGGCCAGGCTGGTCTTGAACTCCTGACCTCAAGTAATCTGCCTCCCTCAGCCTCTCAAAGTGCTGGGATTACAGGTATGAGCCACCATGCCTGGCCTAAACTGTATCATACGTATATATAGAAAGGAAAACACATATATAGGGTTCGTTACCATCTGCAGTTTTAAGCATCCATCCACTGGAGTCTTGGAACATCTACCCTTGTAGATAAGGTGGGGGGACTACTGTCATTCATATTCTCACGAACCAGCTGGAAAACCTCATAATTCATGGGGCATTAGGTAGTACTCTCAAGGATTTTGCTGCAGTAGCAAGACAAAATTAGTCCTAGGATAAACACTATCATGGTCCTGCCTAAAAACGCTAAAAAGGAAATGACCAAATTGTTTCCCAAATAGCTAAATTTTATCTGAGGACGTAGCTCCAGAATATTTGTAGGAATACAAAAATGTCCAACACTCAACAAGGTAAAATTAACAATATTTGACATTAAAAAAAAATGCATGAAAACTAGGTAAATACAAACCATAATGAGGGAAAACATACATCAAAACAGATCTAGAAATAACACAGATGATAAAATTAATAGCATTATAACTATTTCATGTGTCCAAGAAGCTAGAGAAACAATTCAATGTTAAGAAGAGACAGGGAAGACACAGATTCAAATCAAACTTACAGAAATGAAAACTATAATGTTTGAGATAAAAAAATACACTGGATTCACAGCAGATTAGACATTGCAGAGAGAAAAATTAGTGAATATGAAGGCACAATAGAAACTATCCAAAAGGAAACACTTTTAAAAAACACTGGAACCAAGTAACGCCAGTGAGCTCTGGGACAACTTTGAGCATCCTAATGTGTGTGTAATTGGAGTCCCTGAGGGAGGTAGGTAAAGAAAAAATAAAATAATGGCCAAATATTTTCCAGTTTTGATTCAACCACAGATCCAAGAGGTTTAATGAAACTCAAGCACAGGAAACAAGGAAAATACAGCAATACTCATCACAATCAAATTGCTTAAAATCAGTGATAAGGGAAAAATGTTAGGATCACAAAGAGAAAATAGACACATTGCATACATAAGAACAAAGGTAAGGATGACAGCAGATTTATTTCAGGAACAATGCAAACCAGAAGAGTGGAGCAACATCTTTAAAGTACTGGAAGCAAAAAAGCTGTCAATCTAGAATTCTTTGCCCAGTGAAAATACCTTTCAAAAATGAAGTTTATAAGACATGAAAAGGGTAAAATAATTCATCGCCAGCAAATCTGCACTATAAGAAATATCAAAGGAATATAAAGAAAGTTTCTCAATCAGAAGGCAAAATGATACCAGATGGAAATACAGATCTATTCAAAGGAATAAAGAGTACCAGCAATTATAACTACATAAAGTAAATTATATAAAGACGTTTCCTCATTGTTTAAATCTCTCCTAGACAATTGTTTAAAGCATAATAAGTAAGGCCAGTCATGGTGGCTCACGCCTGTAATCCCAGCAATTTGGGAGGCCAGTTGGGGTGGGGGCGGATCATCTGAGATCAGGAGTTCAAGACCAGCCTGGCCAACGTGGTGAAACCTTGTCTCTACTAAAAATACAAAAATTAGCCAGGCATGGTGGTGGGCATCTGTAATCCCAGCTACTCAGGAGCCTGAGGCAGAAGAATCGCTTGAACCTGGGAGGTAGAGATTGCAGTGAGCCGAGATTGCACCACTGCACTCTAGCCTGAGTGACAGAGCACAACTGTCTCAAAAAAATTTTAAAAAGCATAAGTAATAATGTATTGTGTGTATATGTACAGGTAAAACATATGACATCAGCACAAAGGCCAGGAGAGGAGAACTAGAAGTATACTGTTGTAAGCTTCTTACACTATATGTGAAGTGATATATCACTTAAAGTTAGATAAAAATCTACAGTATAATTAGTTTGGGGAACGACATCAGCAAGATAGCAGAATGGGACCTTCCAATGCTCACCCCTCACAGAAACACCAATTTAAAGATCTATCCATGCATGAAAATACACTCACAAGAGCTAAGGAAACCAAATAAGAGATTACAGCACCTGAATGTTGCACAGAAATGAGAAAAGACGCTGTGAAGAGGATAGGAAAGAGTTTTACAAAAAGGACCCATGCCACCCTCCCTCCAACCCTGGGTAGAATGACATGGAGAAAGATACCTTCCGCATGCAGGATAGAGAGGGAGGTGAGCACCAGAATGGTACCTCGGACCCCAACACCATGCCTGCTCCAGTAAAACCCAGATTTCAGGCCAGTACCCGCAGACTGAGCCTCTAAGCCCATCTAAGTAGCAGGCAGGTTCCTGCAGCCCCAGGTCCCTCACTGGACTTCGTTTCTGGGCCCGATTTCTAGGCTCGCCTCAGCAGCCCCAGGCTCTGGAACGGTTCCAATGCCAGGCCAAACACCGCAGTCAGGCTCCAGGATGGCCCCGAGGACTCAGTCCTCAGATCCATCCAGTGACAGGCAGACCCTACTGGATCTAGGCTCCAGACAAGACCCCATGGAGCTGCCTGCAGGCCTACCTTGGTGCCAGTGGACTTATTCTCTCAGACCTACCCCAGGGCTGGGTTGTCCCCAGTGGCTCCATGCTCCAGACTGTTCCCAGTGCTGGGCTGGCCTCTATAGCCCTGGGCTTCAGGCTCCCTCCAGTGTTGGGCCAGTCCCTGCAGCCCTAGTCATCAATGGGACACCCATGGACCCTAGCTCCAGACCTGCCCTAGCACCAGTTTAGCACTTGCAGCCTCAGGCTCCAGACTATTCTCAGGCTCCAGGCCTGTCCCACTGCCAGGATGGCCCCAGTGACCTGAGGCTCCAGACTGCCCACAACACCCGGTTGGCACCAGCAGCCTCAGGCTCCAGGCTGGCCCTGCAACCCCAGACTCCAGACCAGCCTTCGTAGACCTGGTTTCCAGGTCCTCCCCAGCCCCAAGCCAGAATTCACAGGACCCAGCCTGCAGCCAGCCCTTGCAGACCAGGGACCCAGTCTGCCCCAGTACCAGGCTGGGCCTACACAACCCCAGACTTCAGGCTAGTACATGCAGACCCATCCTGTAGGCCTGCTCCAGCACTAGATTGGCAGCCATTGACCCCAGTACCAGGATGGCCCTGGCAGTCTGAGCTCCAGAGCAGCTCAGTGCAGGCTGGCCCACATAACCCCAGGTTTCAGGCCCACCCCAGCACCAGGTAGACACACCTGGCCTCAGGCACCAGATTGACACTTGCTGCCTCAGGAACCAGTCTGTGTTAGCTCCAGGTTGGCCTTTGCAGTCCCAGACTCCAGGCTGGCATCCATAGACCCAG